CCGGTCGGTCGGTCAAAGGCCTTTGACTGACCGTTGACCGACCGTTAACCGACTATGACCGACCGTTACCATCCCTATTCAAAACCAAACAGGAAGAGGAAAACGAGCATGAATAAAAATAATAATAACCTTTTTCTTGGTCACTTTTTCGCGCATCTCTTTGCCTAATGCTGTTTCCATTTGGTCAACCTTCGCAACTTTATGACTTTTGTTTTTAATAAATCAAAGAAAGTTATGTAAATATGTAAAACTTTCCATTAATAAAAATAATTAGTAAATAAATTTATATACCCTTTTGCAATAAACTGAGCTGCCTAATGTTCAAAAGAAAATTTAGTACACTGACCATTCGCATATTCATAGTTTGTAAGTTTAAGTTTGAATTCTGTGTGACCTCACGTTCATATAATTCTAAAAGTTAAACCAATTAAAATTAATAATAGAAATGTTATTTAACGCTTAATAGCAAATATAGAATAGCCAAAAATTATTACCGTAAAATTTTCCTTTCTTGAAGAATACAACCTAATATTAGAAGATTTATAAAGTACATTATTAATGTTAATTAACCCTAACATAAAATTAAATCAATGATATACATAATTAATATCATACGGTATTCCAATGCTTAGACTTTATTTCCCAGAATTATTTTTCAAATGGAGTGAACTTATCCCAAGAATATTTAGGAATATACAATGTACGTAGGTCATAATTAGGTGATCCTGTGATGACGATGATGTTACAAAATTTGAAGATGTAATGATTATTATTACCTTTGTTAATAAAAGTTACTGGTGAAATTGATGTAGAATTTGAAATTAGCGTGTTTTGTGTAGTCGAATTATGCATATTAATATTAACGATAAGGCTATCAATGTCAGTGGTAGCATTAGAAATTTCATCCAAAGGGTTTTGCTTTTGGATTCTTTAACCTTCTTTCTCTTAACACGTTGCACGATCCTTTCAATCATTGACAGTTATTCAATTGTTAAGGCTCCCAAGAGTTCTTCGGTGTGTGAGTCAGGTGTTAAGAGAGCAGATATGGTGACTATAGGTACAGCGGACATGTTGGAGAAGTTGTTGTAAGACTGCGAAGCAGATAGAATAGCTGCAAAAGAGTGTGCAAAGGTATCTACAGTTCCTAAAATTAAAATTTGAGGATTTGTCGTTGAAACTTTCATTCTTGTCACTGGTATCGCAATTATTTCTGATATTGCAGCACCAATTCCAGCTCTGGCTGGCTGCATCCAGGCAGTAAGACCCACGACAATTGGGAAATGTGACCCTGAACAACGTTGTTACTGTTGTTATTGTTGTTGTTGTATAGAGGTTGTATTATTAGTAAGAATATGATTTGTGGAATTTGTACTGTGTGTTGTTATAATTTGAGGAGTTAACGTATTTTATGTCATATGAATTGTTAGTACATTAGTATTAGAAATTTGTGAATTTTCGTGCTGGAGAGGCTGTTACATCTTTAAGATATTAAGTTAATAGTGTGAAATTTTTTTGCGAACACAACAGGGAGGATAAACCAAAAAAAAATTCTTTGAAAAAAAAAATTTTTTAATTAGGAACCCCTGAGAGTTATAATACTTTTCGATATATGAGAATCGGGATTTCCATTTAAATTGCGAACTTCTTGCAACCAGCTGTATTGGTCATCATTCTTTACTTTAAAACCTATAGTACGTTACTTTATAATAAATAAACACTTAGCTAAACTTATTATAATTTGTGTAAAAATCTCAATTGATTTGTACCTTTTTTTCTCAGTATTGCTCATATGAATTGAAGAAGAGAAGCTTGAGTCACGACGAACAGATGAATTTGAGGCAAATTCCTAAATATAATATGAAACTAAGCAAATGATTTTGTCGATGTAAAAAAGGCAAAGTTTCAGATTGAACCTTCAGTTTAGAAGCAGATTTTCTATTTTGATCACTATGAGATAACTTTTTAATCATGTGCGTCGAATTATCTTTCATATTCTTGTCATCACTAGCAACAGGAGTAATATAAGCTTTATTGACACTGACCTGACCCCGTTTATAAATCAGGTCCTGCATATTATTTGCACGAACCTAAGCATTAAAAATATGGTTAAATTAGTTTTTTTTTCTATCATTTCTAACTTCACATCATAACGTTTGAAATTTTTTTACCTAACTTAAATTTGTTATACCCAACACGATACATATCACGTCCAGTATATTTGATTTTTCAGGATCCCATCTAGAAATATGCAAACCAATTTATATTATTTTGATGACTATATATGAATTTAGACTAAGTCCAAAAGCATACTCCATTACGGTTAGGTGAGTTGATTTTTTTTTACGTCTGATTTCTACAGGCTCGGCATATGCTAGAGAAACCATATTTTTGGTTTTTTTTTACTAAAAGAAAGAGATTATAAGACAAAAAGTGTCTCATCCACCCGCCCATCCCACTATTTGGTTAGTTCAGTGTGTATCCAAAGAAAAAGATCGTTTGTCTTTATTACAACAGCGACTATGATTTTATAATTTAAACTATAATAGATCCTAAAATATTAAAAGTAGACCTGGATAGTGATAGAGTTGAAGAATCAGACAATAGCAGGAATGAATTATTTATTAGTCTGATTAGGTAAATCTATAAATGCTAACTGAATTATCTGCATATCTGATTATCATGGATATATGTTATTCACAGATTATTCACAGATTATCTATGTATTATTCATACAAAATTATTTATCCATGGATACTATCCGAAGTAATAAAATGAGTATCTGCAATCTGTTATCCGTATGTATACACAGATTGCGGATTCACAGATCCAAACACTAAGTATAAGAAAAATCAGAAATTAATTATCTTAAATATGAACAAATTATTAGTTTACGAATAGCTGAGAAAACTTATAAAACTATTGCTTATACTTTAAAAATTCCAAAAAGTACTATTACAAATACAATTGTCTGACATTTTGATACTAATAATAGTTCAAGTATTAAAAGAGCTAAAAGGTTACTTTCCATGAATAATAATAATCATTGTAAACTAAAAAGAATTGTAAAAAAAAATAATCAATCTTCTCTTAATAAAATTCATAAATATTTTCAGAATTTAAAAGACTGAAAAGTTTCACAAGATACTATTCATAAATCTCTTCATCAAATGGGAATTCACTCAAGAATTGCTATATCAAAACCATTTCTTACAGAAAATTAACGCTAAAATCAATTAAATTAATGTATAGAATGCCAAAATTGGTTAATTCAAAAGTGAAAAACTGTGATTTAGAGTAATTTTACCTTTTTTGAAAATAACAAACCTGATATATTTAGCAAGAAATGATACCTGATATGATATTGAAAATTAACTTCTATAGTCAAACATGATGGTAGTAGTATTATAGTATGAAGATGTTTTTTAGAAAAAGGATTAGGACCATTGGTAAAAGTTGAAAGAAAATGAACTAATTAGATTATATCAATATTTTAGAAAAAAATTTATTATCATTATTAAATCTAAATATTATAAACAACTATATATATTTCAAGATGATAATGCTTCAGTTCATATGGTAAAGGATGTTAAAAATTGGATTAATCAAAAAGGGTTAAGATACTTTTTGATTGGCTTTTTCAATTTTCAGACCTTAACCCAATTGAGCATTTGTGAAATAAATTTAAAAGAAGGTATTGCAAATGAACTGTATATTTAAAAAATCTTCAGAAACTTAAGAAATTTTATAAGATAAATAAAGAAAAATTCTCTCTGAAACTTTTATTAAATTTTAGTGAAGAATATAATCTTCTTTTATGATATCTTAGGGTAGTATTTGAATTTGTGTATCTGCAATTTTGTGTATTTATATAGATAATAATTGCAGATACAAATTTTTTACTTTAGATAGTATCTATAGATAAATAATTTTGTATAAATTATCTTTAAATAATCTGTGAATAACCCTTATATTCATAAATAATTAGATATGAAGAACAATAACAAAATAATCATTCTTAAGGAACAATAGTTGAAACGTTCCAAAAAAAATAATAACAAAATCGTTCTGAAAGAAAAATAACAAAATTGTTATTTTGAAATAATAATTGAATTGTTCTAAAAGAATAATAAAAAAAATATTGTTTAATAATTGGCAGAATTAGCCTATATTTTGGCTAACTTTCAGCATTTTAAATGTGATGAATTGTATTATTTTGTCTAGTGATATATCAAATAACTACCAATCATTAATGTCAAATATTTTTTTTATGGTACCTACATTGGACAACTTTGCCTATAACTAAAAATGCTGATTGTTTTGGTAATGATTGGCAGAAATTAGATTATATTTTGGCAAACATTTGACACTTTAAAAAAGTGACGAAATGGATTATTTCGACTAATATTCAACAATTCTATTCAAGCGGTTCTTGGTTTTAATAATTCAGAAATAGTTAATAAATTACAAAAACTTGTTCATGAAAGATTTACAACTGTTTTTCAATTCATTGTTACTTTATCAGAAAATTCAAAATTAATTAATGCAAAAAAAGAGAAGAGATATTACGACACAGTTTAAAACCAGAATAAGAAAAAATTGATTTAATATTTTGTAAGGGAAATGATAACAATAATATTCTATTCAGAATTCCAATTGAATCTGATGGAAAAAAATTATCCTCAAAGAAGATACAAGCTTTAATATTAAAAAGTTTAGAATATAAACAAACGATTTACTCATGAAACAAAACAATAAAGTTTCTAAAAGAAAAAATTACTTCAGCCAAAAAAGATGATGATATAATTACATATAACAATACAAAGATTCAAGAACTAGTAGAAAAGGAAATTGAAGAAAAAAAAGTTAGATCAACTATTTTCATGAGTACTTCACAATACCTTTCTATTCTCCTTTTATTATTTTGTTCAAACTGTCTTGATATAATGGTATCAAACTGAACATTTTATACTACTATATCAGAGTTTAATATATCTTGTATTATTAATTGTCTTCTATGTAAAACATTAACTCAATATATGAATGAAGACTCTAAAGTAAATTATTCTCATTTGGTTGCAGGAGTTACACATGCTGAAGAAATAAATAGAAATTCTTTTTAAACTGCGTTGGCAACAATAGGGGTAACAAATCAATGTAGCAAACAAACTTATCATAATTATCAAAACTGCATGTACAATCCAATTATTGAAGATGCAAAATTTAGTAGCATGACAATTTTATTTGAAATTTTAGATCAATTGAAAGTAAATTGTTTACCAAATCAAGAGAAAATATTACCTGTAGGTAGGGTTCCTCAAAATTGAATCAAATCAAATATTTAAGCAATTTGAATTTGATTTGATTTTTTCAAATCAAATCGAATCGAATCGAATTGAACTCAAATA